ACACTCGTGCACACACTAGGAATGTGACGGTGAAGATATTTTAATCGAAATGTGACAACATCGGCGTCACCGGCGGTTTTTTTTAAATCGCTAATTTGTAAGCGAAACTGAAAGCGCGCGTCTGCACAGGTGTCCGTAACGGAGCGGAGGAGAGTGTAAATAATTCCTACTATAGGAATAGACTGCAAACGCTCGCTCTGCTACGCAACGAACGCCCGCACCGACGTGCGCTTTTTAATTCCACTTTCAAATCAGTGCCAGTTCGGGGGCAGATAGCTCGCATGTGGAGTTCATTAGCCTATCGTTCTCTATGAAAAACACAACAACGAAACAGTGCAATGACTAATGCGCTTAAACCAGCGCTTCTACAGGTCACATGCTCCGCCATGGTCTCGTCAGTCAGCTCCTCGCCCGTGAGGACTGAGACCCGACTCCTGCTCGCTCAGCGCTCGCTTTATTAGACACACACGTTCAGTCTGTTCTCTAACTGAACTAAATTTTATTTTTAATCAAATGTAATCGACGGTGCCGCGGGGGGCAAGAGATGAAACACCCGTCAACACCCGACTATTGCAGCATGCCTAATACACACTCTTACACACACTCATGGACATACACACTGGTACACACTCTCACGCACACTCGTACACACACTCATGGACATACACACTCGTACACACTCTCACGCACACTCGTACACACACTCATGGACATACACACTCGTACACACTCTCACGCACACTCGTACACACACTCATGGACATACACACTCGTACACACACTCGTACACACACTCATGGACATACACACTCGTACACACACTCATGGACACATACACACTCGTACACACACTCACGGACACATACACACTCCTACACACACTCATGGACATACACACTCGTACACACACTCACGCACACTCGTACACACTCTCACGCACACTCGTACACACACTCATGGACATACACACTCGTACACACTCTCACGCACACTCGTACACACACTCATGGACATACACACTCGTACACACTCTCACGCACACTCGTACACACTCTCACGCACACTCGTACACACACTCATGGACATACACACTCTCACGCACACTCGTACACACACTCATGGACATACACACTCGTACACACACACATGGACACATACACACACTCATGGACACACACACTCGTACACACACTCACGGACACATACACACTCCTACACACACTCACACTCCTACACACACTCATGGACATACACACTCGTACACACACTCACGCACACTCGTACACACTCTCACGCACACTCGTACACACACTCATGGACATACACACTCGTACACACACTCACGCACACTCGTACACACACTCATGGACACATACACACTCCTACACACACTCATGGACATACACACTCGTACACACACTCATGGACACATACACACTCCTACACACACTCATGGACACATACACACTCCTACACACTCATGGACATACACACACTCACGGACACATACACACTCCTACACACACTCATTGACATACACACTCGTACACACACTCACGCACACTCGTACACACACTCATGGACATACACACTCGTACACACACTCATGGACATACACACTCGTACACACTCTCACGCACACTCGTACACACACTCATGGACATACACACTCGTACACACTCTCACGCACACTCGTACACACTCTCAGGCACACTCGTACACACACTCATGGACATACACACTCGTACACACACTCACGCACACTCGTACACACTCTCACGCACACTCGTACACACACTCATGGACACATACACACTCCTACACACACTCATGGACATACACACTCGTACACACACTCATGGACACATACACACTCGTACACACACTCATGGACACATACACACTCCTACACACACTCACGCACACTCGTACACACACTCATGGACGTACACACTCGTACACACTCTCACGCACACTCGTACACACACTCATGGACATACACACTCGTACACACACTCACGCACACTCGTACACACTCTCACGCACACTCGTACACACACTCATGGACACATACACACTCCTACACACACTCATGGACATACACACTCGTACACACACTCATGGACACATACACACTCGTACACACACTCATGGACACATACACACTCCTACACACACTCATGGACATACACACTCGTACACACTCTCACGCACACTCGTACACACACTCATGGACATACACACTCGTACACACACTCATGGACACATACACACTCCTACACACACTCATGGACATACACACTCGTACACACACTCATGGACACATACACACTCGTACACACACTCATGGACACATACACACTCCTACACACACTCATGGACATACACACTCGTACACACTCTCACGCACACTCCTACACACACTCATGGACATACACACTCTCACGCACACACTCATGGACATACACACTCCTACACACACTCATGGACATACACACTCGTACACACACTCACGGACACATACACACTCCTACACACACTCATGGACATACACACTCCTACACACACTCATGGACACATACACACTCCTACACACACTCATGCACACATACACTTACACACACTCATGGACACACTCATGGACATACACACTCGTACACACACTCATGGACGTACACACACTCATGGACACATACACACTCCTACACACACTCACGGACATACACACTCGTACACACTCTCACGCACACTCGTACACACACTCATGGACATACACACTCGTACACACTCTCACGCACACTCGTACACACACTCATGGACATACACACTCGTACACACTCTCACGCACACTCGTACACACACTCATGGACATACACACTCGTACACACACTCATGGACGTACACACACTCATGGACACATACACACTCCTACACACACTCACGGACATACACAATCGTACACACTCATGCAGACTCGTACACACACTCATGGACATACACACTCGTACACACACTCATGGACATACACACTCTCACGCACACACACACACAGCAACCTTATTTTTAAAATTGCATGTAAAATGTAAACCCATGCTGTGTGTGTGTGTGTCAGGCCTCTGACAGCCTCCTATAAGACGGTGGAGATCTCCCGCCCGTCGGCTGCTAAGATCCGGAACCTGAACCCGGTGTTCGGGGGTCAGGGGCCGTTACTGACGGGCCTCCGTAACCTTGGCAACACCTGCTACATGAACTCCATCCTCCAGTGTCTGTGTAACACCGTTGCCATGGCGGAGTATTTCAACAGGAACTACTATCAGGACGACATCAACAAGTATGACATCACTCTAATCTGCATTACATCATCAGTCAGTGTGAATCCAGAGGAATCTGACTCTGTGTGTGTGTGTGCAGGGCTAATATCCTGGGCCACAAGGGCGAGGTGGCGGAGGAGTTCAGCGTGCTCATGAAGGCGCTGTGGTCGGGTCAGTATAAGATCATCAGCCCACAGGACTTTAAAGGAACCATCTGTAAGATCAACAGCCGCTTCTCGAGCTTCGAGCATCAGGACTCGCAGGAGCTGCTGCTGTTCCTCATGGACGGACTGCACGAGGACCTCAACAAGGTGTGTGGGAACGCCAGGAACACACACACACACACACACACACACAAATAAGGTGTAATGGGAACGCCAGGAAATTAAAAATGAGTGTCATGTTGAACAGAAAGACCCTAAAGCCTGTGTCTCTGTCTCTCTCACACACTCACACTCTTTCTCTCTCTCTCCGTCAGGCGGATAAGCGCAGGGGTTATAAGGAGGAGGACATCGATCACCTGGATGACGTGAGCGCTGCGGATCTGGCCTGGTCCAAACACAAGCTCCTGAACGAGTCCATCATCGTGGCTCTGTTCCAGGGCCAGTTCAAGTCCACGGTCCAGTGCATGAGCTGCCAGCACAAGTCCCGCACCTTCGAGACCTTCATGTACCTCACGCTGGAGATGACGGCCAGCAGCAAGTGCTCTCTGCAGGTCTCACACACACACACACACACACACACTCTGTGTGCGCAGACGCTGTCGTATACGCCGGTGTTCCGGGTCCTGTCAATATCCAGCCACTTCGCACAGCCATTGAAGAGGACTGGACCAACAGGCCACAGTCAAAACTGCACATTTTAGAGTGGCCTTTTACTGTGGCAGCCTAAGGCACACCTGTGCAGGAATCCTGCTGTGTAGTCAGCATCTTGATACGCCACACCTGTGAGGTGATGGATGAGCTCGGCACAGGAGAAGTGCTCACTAACACAGATTTAGACAGATTTGAGGACAATATTTGACAGAAATAGGCCTTTGTGTACATAGAAAAAGTCTTAGATCTTTGAGTTCAGCTCATTAAAAAAGGGGGCAAAACAAAAGTGTTGCGTTTATAATTTTGTTCAGTGTAGTTGTGACTTCGCTATAATCGCTACAGTGTTTGTCCTGCGTCAGGTGTCCATCTGAGCTTACCCTGCTGTCTCGTGTGTGTGTGTGTGTGTGTGTGTGTGTGTGTGTGTCCAGGACTGTCTGAAGCTGTTCCATAAAGAGGAGCGTCTGACCGACAGCAACCGCTTCTACTGCCGCCACTGTAAGACACACCGAGACGCCATCAAGAAGATGCAGATCTGGAAGCTGCCGCCCATCCTGCTGGTGCACCTGAAGCGGTGCGTGACGCCAGCACCTCGGCTCAGGGCTGTGGCCCTCAGGGGCCCTTCACCGGCCGCTCTAACATGGCCCAAACATGCTTTCAATGTTATTAATGTACTATATTTTAGTTTGGTAATGTTTTGTATTTTTAGGGGATTTTATGGTACTAAATTATATTTACGCTGTATTTATAATCAATTTATTCACTTTTTGAGCATAGAACTGAACATTTCCAGCTTAAAGGATAATTCCGGTATTTAACACTTTGAGTCTATTTTCTAGTTTGTTTTGGATGAACTAGAGTGGTGGACTTAGAAATGTTGACGATGGGTCCTGTCTCGACTTTTTGACTATTTTAGAATCGCCTCTGAGTGCTTCAGAGTGGATGTCTATGGGCATGCTCCAACATGTCCTTAAAACAACCCTTACGTTCGTTTTCAAAACTGTGCAACTCACCGAGTGGTTAGTGGTGTTCGTTGATGATTAAAAATAAATATATCGGCGCAATGTATGCTTTCAATCCGTGTTATTTGCTATATTGGAACTATTTTTTCAGATACCTCACAACCGCGTATAAACTTCCGCTCGATATTTGAGTCTGAAGCGTTAGCACACTCCCGGCCACTTGATGGCGACAACCACTTTGCCGCAGTTGCTCAGCTCACGCTAGCCTTCTGAGAGACGGAGAACCGAGTGAAAAGACTACAACCAAATGTAAACAGACCCCTTTCCGTTTCCGGTAGCGCAGTAATATCAACGAGCACTGAGTCCTCCAGCAGACATCATGCGATTTTAAAAAATGGCAAATAAAACACGACAGAAACTGTATTTCGCTACGCTACTTGTTTTGGAACATCAACGAACACCACTAACCACTCGGTGAGTTGCACAGTTTTGAAAACGAACGTAAGGGTTGTTTTAAGGTCATGTTTGAGCATGCCCATAGACATCCACTCTGAAGCGCTCAGAGGCGATTCTAAAATAGTCAAAAAGTCGAGACAGGACCCATCGTCAACATTTCTAAGTCCACCACTCTAGTTCATCCAAAACAAACTAGAAAATAGACTCAAAGTGCTAAATACCGGAATTATCCTTTAAACTGGTAAATCTTGAACGCTTTGGAGCGACAGACTGAAGTTTGATCTCTTCTCAGAGACGACACTCGGCAGATTATTGCTGAAGTGAAAACGGTTTTAAAAAGTGAACAAAGTGACAGAATTGTATGTGTATTGTTATGAAAAAATGCACAAAAATACTATTTAAAATTTTTATATGAAATATATATTTTGAAAATCACATTTTACTCTAAAACTGTGAGCAATTCAAAGCCGTAACTCTCCCCCAGTGTGTTCCGCATGTGAGCCGATCTCTCAGTAAACGAGCGTCAGTGAGAGTGTGTTCGGCTGCAGTTCCACACGCTTCCACTAGAGGAAACTCTCATTCACTTACAATGCGCTCGTTTCTGACCGCGAGGAGCACAAGTGTGACCGTTGTTATCAGGACCATTAAACCTGTTCGAATCACTTCCATGATTTTGTGTGTTCACACAGCAAGTGCCAAAACCTTTACCAAGTTTCATACCATTCCGATGAAGAAAATAAATAATAATTTTCGGTCAAAAATCAGACGTGTGAAACGTGTTCTTGTGTTTATAACAGGTTTAAGTATGACGGCCGGTGGCGTGAGAAGCTGCAGACGCTGGTGGACTTCCCGCTGGATAATCTGGACCTGTCGCAGTACGTCATCGGGCCCAAACACAACCTGAAGAAGTACAACCTGTACGGCGTATCTGTGAGTACCCACCTCACGACACACACACACACACACACACACACACACACACGTGAACATGTTGCAGACGCTGTAACGTGTGTTCTCCTCCACAGAATCACTACGGCGGGATGGACGGCGGCCATTACACGGCGTACTGCAAGAACCCGCTCAAGCAGCGCTGGTTCAAGTTCGACGATCACGAGGTTTCCGAGATCTCGGCCGCCAACGTTCGCTCGGCCGCCGCGTACATCTTCTTCTACTCCTCCCTGTGATGGGAGAGCGACAGCTCGTCACCGTGGCGACTGGGTGATTGACACACAGTGGGCGGAGCTGACACCTCTGCTGATGATCGCGTCTCTCTCTCTCTCTCTCTCTCTCTCTCTCTCTCTGGGCGATACAGGAATCCCAACGCATTCGGAGCGTCGGCCTGACGTCACGTGACGTGATTTAGACGGACTTGTGTGAGATTAGCCGTCAGTATACGCGCACTATAATCCAAACCGCTCATTAGACGCGCATCCGCCGCTTAGAGACGCGTTTAATTTATTTATACGGTGACCAAATACTGCAGTACTGGTGCTGGGAGACCCGAAAGAACCCGATCTCGACTCGTTCCTGTTTAACAGTAAATCACTCACTAAACCACAGTGGAAATCTTCCAGCGCCTCGCCGCTCTATAGGCTAGTGATCCGCTAATCAGTGCAATAACCCTCATTCATCAAACCCAATCCGTGACGCACTACATGTGTATCATATCATCTCTGTACTAATATTGCTCTGGATCGAGTGTGTAGTGATGCGCACACACACGTCACATGATGGAAACGACTCTCGAGATTCTGATGGACCGAGCCAATCTCACCTGGTTTCTTATCATATTAAGTGCATTCTTTAAATCCATGTATTAGCTTATAAACATTATGCATAAATAAAGACATAAACACACGTGTGCTTTGAGTCTTCTGTCTAACACTGACTGTGTGTGATGTGGGAGTTTGTAATATGACACTATCTCAGCGGGATTGTGGGTTTAAGATAAAGACTTGCAGATCAAGATTATAATAATCTAGTGATTCGGTTCTAAGATAAACAATCATAAAACAAAGTGAGGTGAGTGAGGATTCTTCTGCCGGTTCCTTCAGGAAACAGCGTGTGGCGCTCTTGAGCATGTTTCCCCCAAGCAAATCTAATTTAGAGGAGCTTCTTATACAATTGGGAGCGGCTGTTCAACAATTTGATAGAAAAAAAAGTTATTGTTGTAAATTATGTTTCTAGTATTGTAGTTTTAATAAAAAAACATTGTCTTATGGGAGGCCCCCCAATTCTAGCACTGGTTTTCTGTCATGTGTTGAACAGGATTAATAAAACTGATAATCTGATTGGACGAGCCGATGTGAAAGTTTGATATGCATTTGATATTTATACATATTTTTAGTTTCATTAGTATTGTGACATTAAGTAAAGTATTTAATTTAAAATAGTTTTTACCATAAATCCCAGTAAAAGATTAATCTGAAAAGTATATAGATTCAGATTTACATTTAAGCGCCCCTATTTTAAACTGAAGATATGTTGTGATTGCAACACTATGAAATCAAATGAGATGATTTTACACAATTACTCTATAGGTTTGAGTGAAAAGCTAATATCTCAAATGTACATCTAATTTATGGGATTAATGAATAATAGCTCCATTAATTACAATAAATACATTTAAAAACTGTAACATAACAACCCACTCAGGGACTTCTGATATTTAGCGGGAATCTGACACTCACGTGACTGGATTTCGTCCGTTGACTTGACGATGATGGATCGCATGATTCCTGGCTTGAGGTAAAATCGCGGGTGGTTTTATCCGTCGATCGCAGGAACACCGATTCTGACAGGATTTCCGCTGAGGTGAGCAATACTTCACAAACGCAACAAATGTTAACGCGGGATTTAATAGTTAAACAATGACTTTAAAAGCGGGATTCTGTGTTCAGTTCTGTTGAGGTGTGGAGCGCACCTTGGCTAATCGTCGGTTCACACAAAGTCCTTTTAAACAACGCACTAAAAATAAAGAAATAAATAACGACATCTCTAATATTTTCTGTAACTTTAACGTTACTGTCTCTCTCTGATCTTAACGGACAGCGCTCGCGACGTCTACGGTTGCTATGGATACGAAAGTATTCGCGCCTATCTGTTTGACTTTCTTTTAATGCTTTTAATGTTTTTTTTATCAGTACAGCGAGTCATTTAGTAATTAAACACACCTGAACCAGCTAATTAAGCTCCTACGCTGCCTCACGTGCTGTCGGAAACTTCCCACTTCTGAAGAGTGATTACCACAGAGATGGGACCAAGTCACACATGTGCAAGTCTCAAGTAAGTCTCAAGTCTTAACCTTCAAGTCTCAAGTAAGTCCCAAGTATTTTTTTCCTGGGCAAGTCAAGTCAAGTCAAGTCACAGGCTATGTCAAGTCAAGTCAAGTCAAGTCAAGTCTTGTAGTAGGTCAAGTCAAGTCCAAGTCAAGTCACCTTATTATTGTAATTTTACCTGCAGAGTTTGATCTATGGGCGTCAGTTTGGTTTGAAATGAACAGAGGCGCATTCGGAAGTGCATTTGGGAACAATGACGCATTCATTCACTTTTTTCTTTCACGCAGGTCATGTTTTGAAAGATGGTGTCCTGTAGCTTACTAATTTAAAGAAATAAAAATGTATACAAAAATGTGATGTCCGACTTCTTTTATGAAGAAGAAAGCCTTAAAGGGGTCATATAATGGTACATGCACTTTTACAAGTTGATTGTACTGAAATGTGTGTTGGCAGTGCCTGTACACAACCATCATATAATGATAAAAATCCATCCAGTGGTTTTGTTTTAATCTCCTTATATGTTTTCCCCTGCCTCAAATTGAGCCGTTCGAGCCTGTGACGTCACAGGCTCGGAAGCCCCTCCCACGATTGTTGAATGACAGCCGCGTTTCAACACAGACCCGCCCTCGCTCGTGAGAGCGAGCTGTCAATCATAGTCTGCGCGGACCGGCGCGGTCATTGTTGATATGCTGGAGCACTGTCTATGAGCAGAATGGCATCTAAGCGATTGTGGTGTTCTGTTCTTGGGTGTAATAACGAACACAGTCATTTTAATGTTCCTAAATCCGAACCGCTGAAGACGCAGTGGCTGAGTTTGTTTTCGAAGGGAATATTCCCCACGAGCAACGTCAATGCTCTCATGTTTGCCCGAATCATTTCACACACCAGACTGCTTTATAAACGAGGGTGAGTATAAAGCTGGATTTGCTAAGTAGCTGCTCATGAAAAAAGATCGGTACCAGATATTTGTGTTCCTGCTGAATCTCCAGAAGAACTGAAGTGAGTGTAACGTTTTATTCAACTTTATATTAATATTTATATCTTTGCAAATCGCTAGCTGCACACTTCACAATGAATGCGTCTAAGGTTTACACTCAGGGTACATTACGGCATGTTTTCTATGTATGACGTTCTCAATATAATTCATAATTCCACGTTTATACTGAACAACGCGTTATGGTTATTGTGTTATTGTGTTACAAACGGTGTACGCACAGAACAGAGGGGCGGGGTGAGCAAATTATCATTTAAAGTCATATGCACTGAAACGGCGTGCTGAAAACAGAGCTGTTTTTGACCAAGTAAAATAAGTGTTTTCTTACAATACTAATGAGAATTTTTAATTAAAGTATATTACAAACTTTTAATTTAGACCCCAAAGAATCATATTAGCTTGTACAAAAATGGCATTATATGCCCCTTTTAAGTTTTCAAAAAGCATTAGACATATGACCCACTATTCTGCTTCGTGTAAGTTATTTATCAATGAATTCAAACGCGTTGGCTGGCGCTGAGCCAGAGACATACGCTCTCAGTGCTTTCATATATCACAACTGTTCAGTGTTTTCAACCACATCATTTTTATTTTAGGTTTCAGACATTTAAATACACATAACTACTAGCAAAAAATATATTTGTAGTTTGTAAAATATACACTGATGTCTATGGAAGCGTCAATAATAATCATTCCCATTATAATAAGACGCACGTTTTATTCATATCAGATACACATTGTGTAAGTAGCTTTACATTTTACCCTATTCTTCTCCCAGTTCACCGGTCACTTACTTTCATGTATTTGGTGAGAAGTTGAGAAATTGACGTGTTGTAAACTAACGTTAACATGGCACCGCCCATTCGCACATACAGCTCAACTAACGCGATCATTATAAAGGTGTTTAAACAACAAAACACATCCACTTACACATATTTGACAATCGGAATATCAGTGTTGCATGTTATAGCTAATACATTTGTGAACATTTTGAATAAAACAGGAAAAAAGACATAAAAGCAGATCATCATTCATTCAGCACTGTGTTATGGTTCCGCTGTGTCACGTGACAAGCAATGACGCGTCACCATGGAAACATTAAAGTGAGTGACAGGTTCTAAATAACGGTCGCCTAGAAAAACTCACGCTGGGGGATCAGTTAGAATAGTTTAAACTTACTTGTGAAAGGGTTAATGGCTACTTTAGCTATTACATTAGCTAACTACCAACTAACATTAACAAATTGACAAGCACTTACTGGGCAGAATGGCTCTTCAAATGACGGACGAAATTGGAGGTTGTCGTCTGGCTGTCCGCAATGTTAATGTTGTATTCTATGTCTTGCAAAGCGCTGTTCGTCTTTTGCCATCGTGTGAATAATTCTTGAAGCCGAAAGCAATGACCCTCGGTACCCCTCCGGCTGACATTTTGATGTGATATCTGATCTAAGTGGGCGTGGTGTGCGTAAGGTACGAGGTATGACTGATGATAGTGTCGTGATCAACTTTAAAACATTTTTTTATATATATTTTATATTCAAACTGAAAACATGATGTGATTAACACTCAAGTCATTCAAGTCATCGTGTCTCAAGTCAAGTCAAGTCCCGAGTCTTTAACTTCCAAGTCCGAGTCAAGTCTCAAGTATTTCATTTTATGTCAAGTCAAGTCACAAGTCATAAAAATAGCGACTCGAGTCGACTCGAGTCCAAGTCACCAAGTCACAAGTCCCCATGTCTGGATTACCAACTCTCATTCGAGTGCTTTGTCGGAAAGAACAGGAACCACCTAGTTTATTCTTGTCTACTAATTGAGAAAAATCTCATTAAAGCCAAAATTATTTTTAGCTTTAAATGCGCGAGCTCTTTATAGCAGGATGGATTCTGATTGGCTGTCAATGTTTTTATCGTTCTACAGCCGTGATTCCAACGATATTATTCATTCCTGTTTCGTTATAGTTATACTCTGCTATTCGTTTAGCGATTTTTAGGACCATATCTTTATCGTGAAAGGGCTTTAAAAGTTAGTTCACACCAAGGGC